CCCAGCCAGCAGCCGCACAGCAGCACGTGATATAGGCAGAGCAACATTATCGACAAAGAAAAGGGAGACTGGAATGACCATCTCTGGCTTATTAGCCGTCGTCAACCAGTTATACCCAACCCCAAAGTGTGGAACACCTGGAGCTCGACCCCTCGAAATGGCCCTTCATAAAACGTCATGTCTCTGCATTTACCAATGTGGCTTGCAAAGTAAACAATGTGGCTAAAATCCACAGCTAGATTTTATAAACCCCTGATGGTCTCCTACTTATACCGTACAGAAATGTATGGTTTTCCGTACGCGGAAAATATACGGCTTGTAGTTTGGAAACCCTGGATGCAGGTGTAAAGACAGGTCGGGTTCGAAATTATTCGGGGACTGGAAAAGTTTTTGAAAACCGCATTATACCCTTCCTTAGAGCATAAAATTGGAGGAAGACGTCATTTTATACCGAATGAGTAAAAGAGTAAATATTTTATGCATGGTTTTCATGAAATATAATTGACTTTTTAAGGGCATCGAAAATTAATGAATAAGTGCATGCTACATAAGTAGTCCTTTTTTTACAGAGTATAATTTTTGCATGCAGCTGGAGAGAAGTTCGTTTGAAAGCCGGCATCCCGAGGCAACTGAATTATCATAGAATTATGCTGCACGATGATTAGTTTTACAACCTTATTTAATTGATCTTTTCGAAACAAAAGCGTATTTCGGAATATCGGTGGACGTTTCATGAGTTAGCCCACCTACTGTATGTTTTACTTTGGGACTCGATAGAGAGCCGGCACAGACATTCGCGCAGCGACTAGTAGCGCATGCAGTGGGTGATTGACGACGAAGACAGGAGCCTGCTCCGTAACCTGATCAATCAACGCACTTCCAAAATGGTTAAAATTTCCGATCACAATCGACACACCGACTGAATGAGACTGACTAACGACGGGTAATAAGCCAGATATGACCATCCCAGTCCCCCTTGTCTTTGTCGGTAATGTCCTTCAATCACATTGTTCATTGAGCCACATTGTTAACTTTACAAGCCACGTTGGTAAATGCAGAGACACGACGTTTTATGAATAGCCATTTCACGGTATTAAAAGGTCTCACAATTATAGACTTTTAAAACCAATTTATACCCTTCCTTCGAGTGTAAAACTGAAGGAAGACGTAATTTTCTACTGAATGAGCAAAAAGGATTAATATTTCAATGCATGCTTTCCATGAAATATAATTCAATCTTTAAGGGCATCGAAAATCGATGAAAAAAAATGCATGCTACATAAGTAGTCATTTTTTACGGAGTATGCTTTTCAGATGCAGCCGGAAAGAAGTTTGTTCGAAAGCTGGCGTCTTGGGGTAACTGAATTATAATAGAATTATGCTGCACGATGATTGTTTTTACAACCCTACTTAATTAATCTTTCCGAAACGAAAACGCTTTTTGGAATTTCTGTTGAGATTTCATGAGTAAGTAATCTTCTCAGATCGAATACATGTTTCTTAATTTCGGTCAGCGTTTCATGAGGTTGCACATCTACGGTATGTGCAGACATATGTAGTGAGCAGTGGCTTACGTCCGTTCTCCAACTGCTACGGTCCCAGACACATTTAGCGGATTACTAGTAGCCTTTTGAGCATCATCATTTAAAACACAAACTTACGTTGGCCCGCTGCATGTTAGTATTCAGCCTTTCCCTGTTCTTGTCAAAAACATTGTCTGCTCACAGACAGCCGGGTGTACTGGACCTGCTTGGGTGAATCGGCTTTCGAAGGCTGAAAGTAAATGACGCCAGGCGCAACGGCCAGTGTAATACCAATTTGCATGTGGGTAGGAGCCTTGTTTCACCCTTTTAGGCACCTCTCTCTCGAGCCCATTTCGACTGTCACAGCATCCCACTGGGCAACCATAGACGCACATCCTCCGGCGGTCGCCTGCATGCAATGACCACCTTCTCGCGGTCCCTGTCTGGACGCAGGCCCAGGTACCTCTGCTCCCACCGAGGCAGCACGAAGAGTGACAGGGGGCCGCCAGCCGCGCGTGGATAGGCCTCCTGTTTGGAGGTGGGTCGCTGAAAGTGCTTCACAAAGTCCTGGTTCAGTGCCACAGCCTGAATGGAGCGCAGGCGTTGAACCGGTGCGAAGGGATTGGCCGGCATTAGGTAGCCGATTTTGTTGGATTCAACCAGGTCCGGCTAGAAATTTGGCCGAAGGAGCAGGTTGTGTGAGCTGGGAAGTGGGAACAAAGTTGGAAACCCCTATCACAAAATTCATTCGGACTCAATGTTTGGCCCTGCTACGAGTTGTCATAGATGCTGAGGGGAGGGTTTTCTTTTGCAGACAAACAGGTGTACTACCTAGTATTCTAATTACTGATTTAAAAGTTCACTCGGGGGCATTATTTTCCAACTGTCTATTTCTTCTATTCTCATGGGGACGCTTGCATATGGAATGCAGATACAGTAGGTGGCCTGACTGATGAAGGATGTCGAAATCTGTGAATTTCTACCAATCACTCACAAATCGGCACCAGTGCGTGAACCCAATACCTATACTAGTGAAGAACAACTTTGTGGTGGTGGAAATCATAAAAGGACTTTCAAAGATAATGTTGCGTTGTTTAAAAATACTGAATTTATATCAGAAGAGCGGAAAATTCCGAGGATACATTACCCTACATTTAAGAAGATCACGCTCAGATATGCTAAAGTTACCCTTTTGTCCGCGTTTTCTAGAAATCACATCTTCCGCAAACTTTATAATGGAGTATTTTGACGCTTGAAAAGCAACTAGTACGTGTATATTTAAGAAACAACCTGTCTTTGGCTCTTCTACTAAACATAAATTAACATATAGGCAGTCATCGGAAAAGAGTGCAACAATACATATCGCTTAAGCAGCCCTTTGCATCCAAGCTCAGACTGCATAAATATTTGGAAAACCGTTCAGCAAGAAGTCATCATACTACCAATGGGCATGATACCGCTTAGAAGCGTACTGAGCAGTTTCGTTTGATTTTTTTACGTCATTGCGACTGTCGGTCGGCAGTGTAAACCCTTCTCATAAATGGGAAAATTTATGGAGCCAGGATCACGGAACCCCACGAAAGGCGTGACCTGTCTGTTAGTCTAACTAAGGTCTACCCGGATACATCCGCACATGAAACATAATAGGACAGTTTTCTATGAAGGCCAGCAGACCCTGCAATCTGACGACTAGCCAGTAGATGAACATGGGGAAGTAAGGCTTCCCCAGACTGTTTGGCCATAAAAGCTTCGCAGACCTGTCAAATAACCGGAAGAATTTTCGAAATGACTTCAATTTTGTACGCCTGTGGAAGGGCTGTGGTGTGATTCCAAAAATGATCAGATGGTAGTTGAAGCTCGAGTCGACATCAGATACATTTGACTGCTCATGGTTTCACCTAGTTTTTTCACAGTCAAACTGGTCGTCCCTCCCAATTACAGTTTCTGGTGGTCGCTAGTCTCTCAGATGTCGTCCAAAGTTCCAGACAGAGAGAAAGAGGTAAGATGCGAATGAAATATAATCAAAAGAATCCATGAGAGATCAGGGTTTATGTGTGCGTTTTCTAAAGTGTAGGAATGTCAACTAAACCCACTCCCGTATAAGTGTGTATTCAGAGGAGTGGTACCACCGGAGGGCCCTGGCGGTCGCTGGTCTCATCAATCAGCACCGAAAGAAGACAAATTTCATGTTTTCTCATAAAAATTCGCCTCTGCCCGACGAGTAGTGATCTCGGACCGGCGAGGACAGCCATTTTGTGAGAGGCAGGACAAGTAATTCTTCTAACAGAAGCTCGGTAATGTCTAAAAAACTGCCATAGGATAATCGCTATGAAATAACGAAACCAAAAAGGTAAGTATTCGAGTTCGACTACTATCTTTATTCTGCGATCTATCCCATCCCATCCTGTTGAATGTCCGAGTGAATTACTTCCTTCTTGCTTACGTCCTCATTTAGGCAACTAATAGCTTCGGCCAATGATTTAGGCATCATTCAGCAAAAATAACTCAGCCGCCTAGAAAGGGTGGGTTGTGGAATAGGGAGTATAAAGTAACTTCTCTCAATTTGATTTAATACATGTGAAAGGCTGAAACTCTTAGATACCTATTATTTCTCACAAATGAGAGAATATTCTTGGTTGAAAACATTCCTTCTAATGTGTACTGTTGTAACATCGGTTGCGGAATTCTTTTAAACCGAGGCATTTTTTAAAGACCCCGGTCAATATTTAGGCGTTTTAACACATAGCTTGACCTATAGCCCCCACTTTCAACAAGTGCGGTTTCTTTAAATAAGATGGGAAGGGGATTTATCCGTCGATGAGTCTCAATAACTGAAGAGATTTTTAAACGTTTTTTAATGGCAGAGAATTGAAAGTGAAGTTTGTCCAATCCTGGTTCCTGCTAACCCAGTCACACTTACTTAGTATTTAACTCTCAATTATTATTATATCCTGGTCCTAGAACGAGTAAGACTCACAGGTGTCAGCGATACAGTAAAACTGTAGGCGCGAGGGTCGCCATCGCAGAGGAAACCGATAGACACTTATGGATAGTTCATATTGACCCAACTGTGAAAAACTCGGCGCCTCGGTGGGATTCGAACCCACGCAGTAAGGGGGGAAGGCTTTAGTACAGCCAACGCTCTAACCACCTGAGCTACGAGGCCCCGCCGGAAGACGCGAGTTTTATCACACTTGGGTCAAGTTACCCGCCCAACCTACTGCAACGTCTGGAATCCACCAAATCTGATACAGTGTGATAAAACTCGCGTCGTCCGGCGGGGCCTCGTAGCTCAGGTGGTTAGAGCGTTGGCTGTACTAAAGCCTTCCCCCTTACTGCGTGGGTTCGAATCCCACCGAGGCGCCGAGTTTTTCACAGTTGGGTCAATATGAATTATTCAAAATCTGCCAAAATATAAATGACATATGGATAGACTTCTTTCGAAGGCCTACCGAAGTCTAGTCACCCATAACTAAAGCGTGAAAGGACATTAAACTCTGCACTGGCTTCGATTCACGACTAAAGGGTTGGAAGCCTGGTATCACCTTAAAAAGTAGCTGCGCAGATTCTCTCGTAGTTCATAAACGCTAGCAGCAGTCATTAGGCGACTGTAGATAAGACAGTGTCTTCAGACCAGGAGGTAGATGACGTGAGATTGGTGGAACTGAATCACAAAAGGTTTCCTGCTCTACTTCTCTTAAGAAGCCGAAAGTTAACAGCACGCTACTAGGAACCGGGAGCGATACCAGGCTCGGGTCCATCCACCCAACTGCACACGCTCTCCGGCTGCGTATGAGCTCCAATCAATCTCCGATGTCTAGTTCTCTGGTCCATCAACCTTGTCTTCAAGTGATAGCGAATAGTAAAAAACGCTCCTGAATCAAACTCACCAGTAGTGCACATACGAGACAAGCCTGAGCGTGGCCTAGATCCTCCGCCAACGACATACACAGGTTCTCCATCCCCGGAGGGCATTTAAAAGTTCCACCGGCATCGCTATCAACCCCGGCGTTCTCTCCATCACCCGCCTTCATTACGGAGGTGCCAACGGGCGGCGGCGGCAGCAGCTGAGGCGATGGTGCGAGTACTGACGACGCTCGGCCCATGTTCTGCAAGTTGACGCCATACAGTTGGCTGCAACTTGACTGTCGAGAACAGCTCAGACTCCGGGACTCAGTGTTGCCCCGAGGGACGTTTGGTGCGCCGCTCTGCAGCAGGACAAAGTAGTCCTCCAGCTCCGCCTGGGAGAGGATTTTGGAGACCGCCTCGTCCGCGTTCTCTGATCTGGCTCGAGGCAGGCGACCAACGGGGCTGGCCTGCAGGACTGACCTGTCCAACACAGCGGCGCTGCTGGATCGGTGCCTGGGATCCTGTTGATGCTGTCGCAGGGAGGCCAGTGCGTAGCTGGGGGTGGGATTCTCACTGACAACACTACACACCTCCTCGCTGAGGCTAGAGTAGAGGTTGGCCAACCTAATCAGGGTCTCTCGGCGCTGCTCTCGTTTTCGCTTCCGACGCTTTGAAAAGTTCTCCATTACCTGCTTGTAGTATTCGCAATTTTTGTTGACAGTATTTCTTCGTCCCCGCTGACGCACTGTGATGACTCGGCGTTGTGGGGTTGGTGGCGGCAGGCAGTCATAACGGTCTGGGTTAACCTCATCTACCTCCTCTTCCTCCTCTGCCCTGGTTTCTGCCTCCCCCATTGCCTGTTGGAACTGCATGATCCCGATATCTTTCTTCCTCTTCTTTGCGTCTGAATGGGATGGACGGTCGTGATAGAGTGATTTAGTCAAAAGCTTGGCAAGAATATGGTTTGTATCCGGGCCTAAATTTATTTGTTATTATCATAAAATAAATAGTGTCATCTGAAGACGAGGCGGCGAGCATACGTAGCTTTCGATAAATTCTCATCGGGTCAGTACAGTTATAGGGGAACGGGGCATAAGTAAAACATGTCAGCGATAAGAGAAATCGATAAAAGTTCTCCGCAAAGCACAGGCGGAGTGTGGGAATTTGGGGAGGTGGGTTATAGCAGTCACTGTCAGGGGCGGGATGAGAGCGGAAGGGCGAGGAGAGTTGCAGCGTTAGTCGACCTTCAACCACTGTAGGCGCGGAGCTTGAACGTGGTTCGCATGTGTGCATAAGACTGGCTTTCGTAACCTAATGGCAGCCGCTTCCGCTGTCGCTAGCAGGCGCTGGCCCAGTAGCTTAGGGTAGTTCGATGGAACCTTCTAAATCATACGAAAAGCTTTGTTGGGGTCCACAAGATGTTCGGAATCGACAACACGCGCGAGAATGGCGCTGCTTCTGCTCCTCGTTTCGCCTTTTCCCAGCCATGCCGGGAGATGTTCCCGTATTCCCTTGGAAAAGCGTCGACTCGTACGATCAATATAACCTGCTCCACAGAAGCAAGTGAAGGAAAAGGTGCACATTCAGGTGGTCTGCGGTGACAACTTATCCTTACCTTCTCCGCGTAAAATAAGGTTAGTAGAGAATGATATTTGAACCCTTGCTGTTGGGAAGGTTCGCGAAACAGCTTAATCAAGGCGTCTCCTTAGGAGTTCACTCCCAGTGTCCCCTTGGAAAGGTACTTTGAGGAACAAAGTTTTCTTTTCGGTGGACGGTGTGGCGGGTTTGATCGGTCGTTCGGCAATGTTCTTTGCAAGATACCTGTCAGGATACCCGTTTTCGCAAAGGAAGTTCTGGATTTTTCTGAGCTCCCCCTCGATGCCATCTGTTGAGCAAATTTTTCTGGCTCTGTATGCTAAACATCGGACCAGATTTCGTTTTTATTGGAGGGGTACGAAACTGGCAAAGTTTGTGTATTGTCCGGATCAGGTTTTTTTCGATAGACGCTTCTTCGGACACTCCCGTCAGGTTTCCTGCTTAAAAGAACATCTAAGACAGGGAGCGAACCGGCCGTTTTGATCTCCAGCATGAATTTGATCAACGGGTGTGCCTGATTTGCAGCATCTAAGAGGGTAGCTACGTCGGTTTCTGCAGTGGCAATTGCAAAGATATCATCAACATAGCGACTGTAATGTTTAAGCTTACCGATCTGATCGCATGTTTGGAATCTCTCCAGTTTGCCCATGAAGACATCGGCTAGGAGATGTCCAAGGGATTAGCCCACAGCAACGCCGTCTACTTGTCTATAGAATTGGTTGTCGAACAGGAACTGCACATTTAATGTGCATCTTAGTAATAGTTCCTAGAGTGTCTTCGTCGGAAGTCCTATTTCCTGCTGATTAGCAGATAGAAAATCACAAATGTAATCGAAACGGTCGGTTCGCTCCCTTTCTTAACTGTTCTTCTAAGCAGGCGACCTGACGGGAGTGTCCGAAGAAGCGTCTATCAGAAGAAAACCTGGGCATAAACCATACCCTTACCAAAAGCTGGGCTGGAAGAAGGATCACAATCACTTGTTATATGAAACAGTCTTAAACTTAGGAGAATTAGCCGTGATCAAAACCACCCAGCGCTAAGATCGATGCCCAGGAGGGGATTCGGGCCGAACCCTTGAAGGTAAATCACACAGGGCAACAGTGCAGAGCTAGCACCGATTTCGATAGGATGTCACGCGTTGACGAGTATTCAAACTGTGAGGGCACTTTCGGATGACTCCAGCTGGCGTGGCCTGACTGCGAAATGGAATGTGCTCCTCCTCATTCGTCTTAGAAACTAGGCTAGGAACCTTAATGGTAGTTGTAGAACGGCGAGCAAAAAGGTTATTCAGAAGACCAGTTTGTGAGAATACTTGTGGTTTCGATAAATTCACATGGGGCCGGTGCATTTAAATGGGAGCGGAGTACAAATAAAGCATGTGAGTGCTAAGAGAAATCAATTATAATTCGTTTTCTTCACACAAGTGGGATGTGGGAATATTGGGGTGGGGGGCATAAAAGGACACCCTGCAATCGATTTCCCTCGTCGTCAACATGTTTTACATGCGTCCATTTCCCACGTGGATGTGCTGTTCCAGTGGAAATATATCGACAGCAAGCTTATATGCGCCAACTGGTCCTCTGGATTTTTCCATAAGAATCTTAACAACTCGGAAAAGAGAATTACACGTGAGTAACTATTTCAGATTTACTGCTCGTCATACTGGAGCCTCAATCAGGACAGATGTGGAATCCTAAACAGGGTTCAGTTGGTCTAAAGCGACAGTTAAGGCCCTGTGAAGGCCCTCAACTGGCCACGCGCTGAGTAGATTGCAACAGGCCCGTGCCTCGGTTGGACTAAATCAACTGACTTCTGTTCCGAACTCCAGGCCTTCCGCGACTGAGCTTGCGGTGTGGCAAGAAAAAATTAGTCAGAAATAGTTCAACCCGTCTCCCGCATCTCTTCCGGAAAATCTCCCGGACAGAAGGCTGTGGTTCGAACCCTCTCTCACCTCATTTGCGTCAATTTCAATTTTTGATATGAATAGGGGGCTCAATGGCGAAGGCCTTATTTCCTAAATAATGTGACTTAAAATGACGCAGCCTTCTTTTTCGAATTAACTCAATCTTATCAGGCAGACCCCCAAGGGACATTTATAAAGTAGGTGGGCTAACTCATGAAATGTCAACCGAAATTCCGAAATGCGTTTCCGTTTTGAAAAGATTAATTAAGTAGGGTTTTAAAATCAAACATCATGCAGCATAATTCTATAATAATTTCGTTACCCTATGACGCCGGCTTTCCAGCAAACTTGTTTTTGGCTGCATCGAAAAACCATACTCCGTAAAGATGACTACTTAAGTAGCATGCATTTTTTCATTAATTTTCGATGTCCTTAAAGATTGAATTATATTTCATGGAAGACATGCACAAAAATAGTTATTCTTTTGCTCATTCAGTAGAAAATTACGTATTCGTGTAATTTTACACTCGAAGGTGCATATTTCGGGGTTCAAAAATTTTTCAAATTCCCGAATAATTTTATGAATGGCCATTTCACGATTTTAAAAAACTCACAATTAGAAACTTTTTCGAAACCGAATTATACCCATCCTTTGAGTATAAAATTGGAAGGAGACGTAATATTCTACTGAATGAGCAAAAGAATGAATATTTTCATGCATGTTTTCCATGAAACATAATTGGACTTTTAGGGGCATCGAAAACCATCGAGACAAATTCATGATATTTATGTAGCCATTTTTTACAGAGTGTCGTTTTTGCGTTCAGCCATAGGGAAGTTCATTCGAAGCCGGCATGCTGGCGTAAGTGAAATATCATAGAATTATGGTGCAGTCTGACTAATTTTACAACCCTACTTAATTAATCTTTTCGAATCGAAAACACATTTCGGAATTTCTGTCGACATTTCATGAGTAAGCCCACTTACTGTATTGCAATTTTACGAAGCATGACTTGGCCAGCGAAGCACGGTTAGATTTAGGTTGTCAACTGGTTACGCACGCGACCGTCTGCAGATACACCCTGATGCGTTCTTAACACTAAAAAAGTAAGAAATTGTTATGTTCAAGCAGAGTTTCTTAAACGCCAGAAGTCGCAGACAGATATTTGTGGTATTTCGTCATTCCGCCAGGGCTGGAATTTCTTTCCACGCAATATTATCGTTCGGATGGCGTGTTTGAGAGCACTTCTCCACTCTTAAACTGCAAAGATTGAACAAGACATATTTGCTGAAGGAGTTTTGCATATTTCTTCAGTTCAGTCACAAAGTTTGCATAAAATCGGAAGCGTTGTGAATGTTGCCTTCCCCTTCCAGGGTATCCAAGCAACCGACCAGAGGGAATTCCTCAGACTTTAGTGAAACGGAGTGCGTTCAACAAGCTATCTGACTAAAGACTGCGCATGCGATTTCAACATACGTGCGCACTTTTTGTGTGTTTCTGTTGTCGGGGTCGTTTTCCAAAACCATAAATGCACAGGAATGGACGTCTGCACCCACTCTGCAAACAGAAATTTCCTTTGGAGGAGTATTGAGACGAAGTGCTGGGGAGGGAGGTGCAGGCCAAGCGCGTGTGCAATCAGCACAGACGGTTTGACCGAACTTCAGGATGGACAACGAAATTTTGATTTTCCCCTAAAGATCCAATCTTCACTTACTCCAGTAGCTAAACAATATGTTTACAAAACCGCAAACGGGGTCGCTTTCGGACGGTAGATCTTATAATCCGAAAACGCAATAATGATAATGGAGTTAAACTTACATTCTTTCTTTAGCAGGAGTTTTCGTCCGCCTGACGGGATACGAGTCATGACCCCCACGTCAGCCCTGTCCGACTCCTCACCATGGCCGTTGGAAAGCAGGCTCAAGCTGGCTGACTGCATGTACTTCTCCTTGATCGACAAGTGGGTGGGGCTGGGTGGTTTCTGACTGTCGATCATCTGGTGGGCCTCCTCTCCATCTACGCGCTGGCATGGACCCTCTGTAATGCCTTTGAGTAGGATAGAAAGGATAAATGGCGAAAGTGTTCTTGTTGACACGCCACCCCACACGAGGTGATATGAGATGAGGGTTGTATCGAGTTACCGCAAATGCAAGATGGAATACGAGAGCTTCGTTGTGTTTTGGTGGCTCGTAAGTAATTAGGGGAATTAAGTTCTACTGCGCACCATTAGCTTTGTCCTCCTTCTCGAAAAATGAAATGCAGTTTTAATTGATTTATGTTTCCTCGAAAGGTAACATTGTTCACTTTCCATAAACTTGTTCCTACGGGGCTTACTTGCCTATCCTTAATGAACTTGCGAATGTGGACTACCGGTTACCTTCATGACAGAATGGTGTGTCGTCAGGTTGGACTGGATATATCTGATCACTTTTATTTAGTTACCCAGGCCGTAGACCTTCTGTAGTGGACTAAAAAGGCAAGCTTTTGTAATTTGTGCAACAATCGGGAGAGGACACCCAAATATCCGTCGCCTAGAAATAATATCTACTACCGAGGCGCAGAGTTTTTCACAGTTGAATCAATATGAAATATCTACTATATCTATTTGAGTAGGTTATAGCCCTACATATTTGTTGCTTCATCCGACGTCAGTTACATTTGTAACTGTAACGACTAGTTGGCACTGACCGTCAGGCTCATATCAATTGCTTAGGCAGGGTAGAAAGTGTCGGGCCCAGGTTCGGTAGGTGTCTAGAAACCACAAAAGTGTACGTTTGCTACTTTTTCCCTGGCATACTCTGACTTGCCGGGAGGAGGGAGGGAAGGAAGGAGGAACGCCTAGTCAATTCACAGTCGGGATTTAAGGTTCTGCTACTAACGTGAGAATGATGATGATGACGTTGATTTTGTTGTTTATTCTACGGGATTTGATGCTGGTAATGACAGCAAAATCCGCAAAATACCTCAGGGCTAAGAGTAAAACAGCTGGCTTCGGTGAGAGACGAATCAAAAGCTAATTTGGACATTGACGGCAGAGTGTGGAACGTAAGGTAAGGTAAGGAGATAAAAGGATCAAACCTCGAGATGTTAGCAGAGCCATGATGCGGGTATTATGACTCTTGGGGTATGAACTGTTTAAGCCTTATCAAACTTCAACCCTCAAAGTCCTTAATAGCAGAATTTTATTTGTGTAAATTTCCCACTTCCCATTTTTTATCTTTTTCTTATTTGATCTCATAGCCGTTGATTCATCGGATGCCAAATTTAAAAGAAAAAAATTAACTGCTTACTTCGACTTCCCAAGATTAAATCAATAACGGCCGCTAGAAGACATTTAGTAGCTCATGATAAACAGATTCTTCGCGCAGAAATTTATTCAGCGAGTGACTGAATGAACACTTTTAAAGGTAACTGGATCGGTTGCCGACGGTTTATGATTCTCGAGTTGCAGAGGCTGAAACTTCCAATTAACATTTTTGACCAGCATACTGGAAAACCCTGTCATTATGTATTAAGTTTCAGCTAGTTTGTAAATAGTACATTCTCATTTAAATGAGCAGATAGAGGTGGTCCATTTCCCAGGCCAACACTTTTACCTGAACTTACCCCAGCGGATTTTTATATGAAACCCTCTTGAAATAATCGGTTACTCAACGAACCTCATTACTTGTATGAAATCAATATCAAAACAACAAACGAAATTTAAGCCATTCTAATTCCTCAACACTAGAGTGTACCCGGAACGTTTGAGAAAATGCCCGAGAAATAGTCATATTGAGGTGCGACGATAAAACAAGAGTAAAATTTAGTAAGTTGAACTTCCATGTACCTTTTGTCGTATGGCTCCTACATTTGCACAATGGGATTTGTTAATTTTTATAACAGCTACAAGACTTAAAGAGTACTCTGCGTGATTAAAATTCAAACTAAATCGAAAAAAGAAATATCAGTGGTTCGTGTTAAGCTGTGGTTCCTTCAACCTTTCTACCTCTTCTAAAGCTGAAGCACGGGCAAAACAATGCAATCAAGGCATTTTTATCCTCAAAAAGTTGTCGTTTTGATCATCGACACTAAAACTGGAGTACTCAGTTACCCTTTGTAGTTTTAGTCCTTCCAAGCCGATTTGATATGGATTTTGAAGGCTAGAGATTTCGCTTACCGAAAAAATGGATCATTTTGGCAAATTACGTGACAGTCGGTTACTTTTGAGAAGACTGTTTTCTGTCTGGATTTCGAAAAATCTTTCGTTCGACAATAGTAGCTGAAAACAGAGAGTTGTGCAAGTCGTGTCTTGTCCACTGGAAAGTGCTACGAGCCCCATAAAATACAGAAGAATGGTTTATTTTTTTAAATGGAAAATGTGCAACTGAAGTAGAGTGCAAAAACCTACAGAGACTGAAAAGCTGATTTAATTATGAACACTATAATTCATTCCAGTACGAAACTTTGATAAGACGTGTTTTGCTATAAAACGAGTTTAGGGGACGATACTCGAGAGCCTGCTTTGGCAATGGTAGGTTGTGTAACTCCACCGCGCAACCAGCACTTCCAGGCCCGTGTAATACGGAAATGGTAGTAATAGGGGTTTTAGGGGTGTAGCATTACCACAGAGGGGGAATGAATTAAATGCGATAGAACGTAAAAAATAAAGATGTTTCCGTTCAAATTCTTCTCCTAGGCTTAGATATAGCAACGGAATTAAGTGCCTTGATTGGAAAATGAACAAAAAGGAACTTTCAATAAATAAAGTGCTTGAATAAACCCCCGCTTGCAAATTTGAAGCAGGTTGGGAAGCCATAGAACGAACAACCAGTAGGGAAGAAGAACAGTAAGTGCCAAATAGTGCGACTGTGGAAATTTACTGCGAGGCTACGTGATGCATATGAATGTTAGAGGAGCTATGGAAATACACCGTGATAAATGCTTAATCATGATCGCATGTTTTTGTCTGCATAATTAAGCAACCTAGTAATCTGATATAAAAAAATTTAGGAAAATAAAGTATATATGAAGTGGTTACGTACAATAATGAGATGCATTAATGAGCAGAGTTAGTAATAATGCTTATTTTTTTCTTCCAAAATACGGACCAACGGCTCCAGGTCGCAAAACATTCAAACAACCACAGCTTGATTTTCTGACGAAAGCGGATGAAATAAGCGAAGATATAAACCCTAGGATGGTAAAATACCGCCAAGCAAGGTTAGTCATACATATTAAATGCAGTTGGGTTACACAACCTATCCTTAATCCTGCTTTCTATATAATATGTTTAGAGTTATAAGAGCGCCGAAAGTCACTGTCAAAAATTCAGATTACTTAAGTAGCCACTGTTTGAAGAAAGCCGGAGAGACGAACGTTCGAAATTTGGCTTCCTATTGTGACTGGGATATTTAGGTATTATACAGCGTGTAATCAATACTACAAACTGTTTGTAGTTTTCTGTCTCGGAGTAAACAGTGTTTTCGCAGGGCAATCTCTGCACTGAAATTGAATCTTCCTGCAAAGTCCGCACAAACTAACATGGACTGCCTAGTATGTAATTCCAGTAAGCTTCTGTGCTTGGATGCAAGCTATCTACATGGCTGAATCAGATATAAGGTTGGTGGAAACTCGAACTAAAGGTCCAAATTTCTCCCTCCAGATACCTTCTATGATATGCTGCATCGGCTGCATTATGACATTGTCCCGCGGGAAGTACTTGTTTAAATACTCCCTGAAGCGTGCATTTCGTATTCCGCGAAGCTGCGGCTTCCTGCTCATCAGTGCACCTTGAAAGGGCCCGGTACCGCCCTTCTTCAGGGTCACTGCGCCCTCGTCTCCATCGTTCACTGAATCACTTTTGGTAGTTCTCACTGGCCTCGGGATGAATATGGACTTGCTACATGCGTCGATCATTTCCGGTTTGATGCCGGGTCCGAAAAACTCCTCCTGCCTAACCTCTCCAAATACAACATCCAGTTCGTGCTCATCGCCCTCCAAGCCAGCCTTCCAAATTTTTTGATCAGAATTTTTCAGCAGTTCTACTGCGGCGGGGCTGATAGGTTTTATCGCAAAGTTGGGCGGCGGGAAAATTCCACCGGGGAGAGGTGTACCAAGCATTGTGCCAGCAAACAAGCCCCAAAACCGCTTTCACCCATTAACAGTCATGATCTCGCGCGTGGCCGCGCTGTTCAAAGTGAAATATTGATTTATGGAATATGGCCACGTGACTCGTGCCCTTACCTCGCATTTTCTAAGTTCACCTTGAAGTGAACCAATCAGCTCACTTCTGCCTTCCTGAGTTGTCTCCGGTTTAGGTTGTCGGTCTTCTTGCTTAATATTAAAGAATTTGTTTGAAAGGTGTTCCCTAAGACGGACAGTCTGGTTTAGAATTTTATTTAACTCAGTGTGCTCTCAGACACACCACCACCAGCGGGAACAGCGATGAGCGCGTTTCTTCGTGGTTAGGAAGACTTGCGTAGTGCGGGAATCATCTCACCACACTTCCATCGTTTTCCAAAATCCGCGTGCCACGAAAGGGGCATAACTGAAAAAGTAATCGCGCGGCACATGTGCTGCATATTTGATGCTTCCTCGACTCGTGTTACGTAATTATCCATCCAAAATTAGCGGACCTATCTCATCAAACGTTAGCTGAACTTCTACAATATGATCTCGTTTAGAAAGGATTACTTGGGTAGGGTTGTAATACCGCCTTTGAATGCGCGTATATCAACTGGAAGGCTAATTGCTGAAGACTGTTACTTACTGACCTATTATCAAGATGGTTTAAGTTTCTCGTAGCTGTTTTTCGCCTGATTTCATTATCTATACTCTGATCGTCTACAAATCAAGAAGTCGTTTTTCGCCTACTGGTCATCCGCGAATTTTTGTAGGCATGGTGACCCTTATTGGAGGAGGTAGATCGGTGTGTGTGTGTCTTTGTCTGTTTGCGTTTTCCAATTACTTACTGGTACAAATTAATTCCTGAAGAGGGAGCTTTGATTGACTTGTAAAACACGGCACAGCAAAGTTCGTATCAGGCAAAGTAGGCGGGTTTTCAATAAGGATACAAATGTCGCACACGAGAAAGGACGTCTTCGGTCCTAAGAATGTTGGTAAACGTTGCCATCCAAACAAATGACTTGAATTCGACTTGCACGTTCCATGTACGTAAATGTTAGGCCTTTTCTGAAAGGGGGTGATTCTGTCGAGGAGGGATTGGGATGATCATTTCTGACTTATTATCCATTGTCAGTTAGGAACGACATTTCTCAGTTAGGAGAATAATTTTGATTTTAGACATTTTATTGTTCGCTGTTCTTCTTTGCCAAGGATTTCACATAGTCCATGTCGTACGAGTAACTAGGGGGTTTTGTGGCAGATCAGATGCTTTGTCTCTTTCGGTGCCTTTGTTAATTGAAAGACGGATTAAAAGGCCGCGATGAACCCTGTGACAGTGACTTGACTGCTGAAGCGGTCCTTTAACAGAATAGAACATTTGGTTCGTTATGCTGACGACATTTTTGTCGTTATTAAAACAACTCACAGTGGGCGCTTTAAAGACTCACTAAACCCTTTTGACTCAAATATCCTATTCGAGATGGAAACTGAAAGGAAGGATCAACTCCCCTTCCTCGACGTCCTTGTACACCTGCGTGTAACGGGACAAATGTAGATTACAGTATTCAGAACAGTCCCCAACACAGACACCCTCAGCTCAAGACCGAATACCAGGACAGGCTATTTATAATTTTGTTCGACTTTGTTCATTTAAAGCTTTTCCAACGGCGAGCCCACCAAATCCTCAAAAAGGCGAGCATTGTACTATATCTGTGAGTCCTTTCTCGGAACCAGGAAGGAATTCTCCCTAACACGTAGGAACTGACGTCGCCCATGTACTAGAGCGCTCTAGAAGTGCTGGTTGTTATTAGACGTTGCACTGTCAGTGGTGTTCAGAATTTGAGTCGAGACTGCACTTTTTCAGTGGCATTTGTCGCAAGTTACTCAAACACACCACTCGTCGTAGGGTTCAAATAGTCCACCATTCTTTCGGTTTATTTATCTGCCGTTTGGAAATCGCGTTCGAGTTCAGCATCAAAGATTGCAGCAGTTTCCAAATTTGCCATCTATTTGTACTACATTCGTTGAGCAGGTCATTCATCTGTTTCCCTCTGAGATGGCTGTGTAAGCCCGGCGAGTATTTAAGAGGTGTTCCTCGGCGACCGAGAGTGGGGAGGCTTGCAGCTCACGGACCTTTTGCAGCGACCCTGACAGTTATCAGTGCCCGAGCAAAGCGAAAGACGTGGTTGGTGTTAGGGAGTTTGTGACGACTGACCTTCACATCTCACTGCGTCCTTGGATTCCTGTGCTCAGGCTACTGATTTATGCCCTGCGTAACCGGTAAACTTGGAGGAACAACTACCATCTCAGATGTGGTCAACGGTGGGTGAATGCTTCTTTGACGTTAATTGATCCTCAATATGCCCTATATTTAGTGGTCTCGGCACAATTAATGTTTGTGGCATTCTTGTGAGATGTCGGACCCTTCGCTGTCCCCTTTAGTGATGATAGGTAACTGCTTGATCCGACGAATATGCACGAATTCCCAACCAGAGGCTGAACTTGGGCATATGACTGGCCGGCCAGATAAAAAACCTGATTTCTTCCTTCTCCTCAGTCGTTTTCTTTTTCCTGATTTTCGAAACCGCACTTCTATCCGTTGAGGAAGATGGCTTAAGATGAAGTCACTAAAGAAAAATTTAGGGAAGAATAGCTGGCTGGGCACTGAAATAGAGGCGCCATAGGACTACAGATTACTTACCCCTAAATTCCAGGAGCTAGAGTTAGGGTCAGTTAGAATTAGATTTGCGAGGGTTAGGATTAGGGTTAAAGTCAGGGCCAGAGAGTAGGAACGCCCTGGAATTTGGCGCGAGTTCCCTTGCAGTAGTGAGGGAGGTCAGTGTTCCCGCGCTCCACTGAATAGGCTTTATAACTCATCAAAAGTACTCACCCCACGCATACTGCACTCCACCAGGCGATTCCAGGCACCTGTCTTCCCAGTCACTGAGGTCATGCACACTCACGAATCTCAGCATTTTCTCTCTCAACTTCGGGCGCGTCGGACTGGGCGGCACGGGTGTGCACTCATAACTCTTTCTGGGGTCGACCTTCCTTATGCTCCCGAGTTCTGCCGCCAAAAGCAAGTCTGGAAGGAAAAAAAAAGGACACACCCAAGAAGGACTGCAACATACGGTGGTGTTGGTGGTGTTGGTGGTGGTGGTGGTGCTGGTGGTGGTGGTGCTGGTGGTGGTGGTGGTGGTGGTGGTGGTGGTGGTGGTGGTGACAAATGGCCAATTTCTTGGGCTGGTAGCAGGATTCGCAACAAACAGTCTTCCACGTGGGATCAACCTTCAGCTAGCTTCTTTTGGAGAGGTTGCAGAGGCTTTTCCATACTTTCCTCTTCAGGATATTTAGGAATCAGTTGCTCCAAAAGTTCGGGGTCGGGTAAGGCTGGCTAAGGACACCCGAGAACTCATAAGTGGTCATCCCAACCTTCCTTGTCTTCTATGGTAATCCCCACTAATCTAATTCCCCCCGCCGCTTGAATTTGGTTCACGGTTACCTGCAATATGGGGCTCCTTATTCAAGTGTCTGCACGGTAAACTTTCCCAAAATCAGGTTGATTTCGAGGAGCGACAGACTTCAATGGAAGGAATTTCTAAAATAGTCGGGAGTGACTCCTTGGAGGCACCGGACGTCAAACCAAACCCTTTATTTAAAGCATCTTTGAATAGGTGGCTCCCTAACAAAATCGACCTCCACCAAACCAGGCGATTCTAAAGGATGGGAAACCAATCCTTTGGTGCGACCACCTGATAGGTTAACAAATGAGAGACCTATGGAATTTTACTATCTGCCGAAACCTAAGGGTTAATAGACAGTATTTTAATTGAGAGGTGCTCACCAAGGAATGGATGGTAATAAAGAGGGTGGAGTAACAAGATGAGAACATGAAAGGAAGAGTAAGAAAAAAAGAAGCAGGAAGGGGTCGGGGAGGAGGTGGAGGTGAAGGTGGAGGAGGAGGAGGAGGAGGAGGAGGAGGAGGAGGAGATGACCGTGGGAAAAACAGGAGAAAATCCAGGACAACCGACGAGTTGAAGGGGACATCTCCTTAGAACACTGGAAACCAGTTCCTTGATGTGGTCGCCTGGGAGATTAACTGCAAGTTGGAAGTCTAAACGGAAAGATACATCTTTAGGGATCGCGTGCAAGTTGTACGGTGTTTTCCCTCTACTTTTTTGTGTAGTCGGAATTTCTGACTAACCCCTAAACTCTTATCACTTATTCCGAACTAAGCTGTCGGCCCAAACTCGTTTCTAATCCAAACCCAAAATCTAACCATGATCCTGGTCCTTCCTTTAGCCCTAGACGTGAACTTGACCCTACCATCAGCCCAATTCGGTAGTTTGATATGAAGCCAACTATGATGAATCGTCATAAGTCAGAAATACCAACTACTCTAATTTAACAGTAGCAATGAATCAGAACTGCTCACGAGTGAGCTCCTAAAGATATAACTGACCAAATGCCGATTCGTGTTTGAGAAGAAAAACATGCTCGACAACTATCAGTTTTTTATGTTAACAGACTTTTATAGTAAACTGCTAAAAATCACCTTCAAACTCCACACGGAATAGGAAGGACCGTACTAAAGTTGACAAAAAGGTTGTGATTTCCTAATCGGGTCTCATTTAATTTCAATAGGTTATTCATCAAAGCTTTGTCAACATGGTGAAGACTTCCAAAGCTCCATGTTTTTCAATTTGCCATAATACTCACTTATTTGACTTTTGTTCTAAAAAAGGCATTTCCATAAACTCTTCGATCTAATATGTTTGTTCGAAGTAAGTTGCCACCCTTGGTTATTGAATTTACATCGTATTTGGCTAAACTGGTGGTGACGCAGAAATTGACAGGTAAAATCATGTTCCCGAAAAAGGGACCTACGTCTTATGAGGAGATATAATTTAGGCGATTTTCGGCAAACTTTGAATACTCAAGGATACACTCATTATTTGGAATTGTAGATGATCACACGTCCTTTAGCTCGGGCATATGGAACCCGTAGTTTTTTTCATAAACTTAGTTATTTGCTACATACAGTAGGCGTGCTAACTCATGAAATGTTAACAGAAATTCTGAAATGCGTTTTCGTTTGGTAAAGATTACTTAAGCAAGGTTTTTAAAAATAATCATCATGCAGCATAATTTTATAATAACTCAATAACCTCGGGATGCTGTTATTTGAACGAACATCATTCCGGGGGCATACAAAAACCGCACTCCGTAAAAAATGGCTACTTAAGTGGCATGCATTTTTTTCATTGATTTTCGTATCCCTCAAAAATGCTATAATGTTTCATGGAAAACATGCATACAAATATTCATTCTTCTATTTATTCGATAGAAAATGACATCTTCTTCCAATTTTATACGCGAAGGAAGAGTATAATTCGGTTTTGAAAAACTTTTCTAATTCCTGAATAATTTTGAAGCCGACCTGCCGTTATGCTCGCGTTCAAGCTTTGCAAACTACAAACCACGTGTCTTCTGTGTACGTAAAACCATATATTTCTCTACAGCGTTAAGAGGACATCACATGGGGTTCATAAAATTTAGCGGTGAACTCAAGACATATTGCAAACTTTACAAGCAACATAAGTAAATGCAGAGACACGATATTTTATGAACGGGCATTTCACGGTATTAAAAAATCTCACAATGAGAAACTTTTTAAAACCAAATTATACTCTTCCTTCGAGTATAAAATTGCAAGAAGACATAATTTTCTACCGAATGAATAGAAGAATGAATATTTTTATGCATGTTTTCCATGAAACATAATAGCATTTTTGAGGGATCCGAAAATCAATGTGAAAATGCATGTTATGTAAGTAGTCATTTTTTATTGCGTGGTGTTTGCACGTCCCCGGAAAGATATTCGTTCAAAAGCCAGCATTCCAAGGTTATTGAATTGTTATACAATTATGCTGCATGACGATTATTTTTAAAGCCCTGTTTAAGTAATCTTTTAAAAACGAAAACTCACCTCGACATTTTGGTTAACATTTCATGCATTAGCACACCTACTGCATCGTATTTACAAACGGTTCTTAGTCTCAGCTCACTACGAGCAATTTTTCCTAAAGGAGTGAAAGATTTTGCTTACTCTGCATGATTTGGTCCATCGGCTGAACTACAACATTGTCGTGGGGAAAGTATTTGCGCAAGTATGCCTTGAACCGTTGGTTTTCCATTGTTGAATGTTTGCCCTTTTCGCCATATACTATACTCTTTGCCAACTGTAAGCCATCTCTTTTTGGGAGCAGAGACCGACTGCCATCACCGTTGGCCCCCTGTCCCTGAATCTGAACACGGGACTTGGGAATTACAATGGATCTGCAGTAGGCATCCATTAATTTGGGATTGACACCGGACAGAAAAAAGTGCTCAGGTCTCAGTTCCCCAAAGACCACATCAAGCTCCCTCGAGTCGTAGGAGAGGCCGGTCTTCCAGATTTCCTTGTTCGACCGTTGACAGGCTTCCAGCGTAGTTCCGTCAATGGGAGCAACAGTTAGCAGGGAAGTCCGCAGATCGTTCATTGCCCTTGGCCGTGAAAACATGACGCCGAGCTATCTCAGTCCCCAGTCGCACACGCAGCATTCGCGGCGTGGCGTGGCTGCGCACACCCTTTGAACCACCAGATTTTATCGATCCGCTTTAGAGCTCAATCGGCTTCAGAAGATGAAGATGCGATCACTGGGACAAGAAGTTTATTTGCCTGACGTTTCGGATTCTTACTCGAACCCATCATCAGAGACATTCGCAGATAGAGGTGAAGGTGGCACCAGGAGTGCAGTATTTATAGCACGTGGCTG